TAGGACTCTTAAGCCTAATGCTCTGATACCAAGTTTGTCACGCCTCGAGCTACCCCCGAGACGCGGACACGAGACCTAGGACCACAAGTGATCCCAAGCTAACCCTGCTGGCATGATCATGAGCATACTAAAGATAATAAACTGATGCGAAAGCTATACTCATAAATAAAATGAAAAGATCGGGAATCGATCTAAGCGTGATTTGGATGCTGAGAACCTGAACCTACATCATAAGAAGATGAAGCGCACGTATGTGTTAGTACTTGAAAGGTACTGAGCATGCAGGATAGAGTAAAGTTGAAATAACATATAACTGAACAAAGCAATAAAGCAATGAAATAATCTGAACATGATAATAGATACTGAAAATACTGAATACTGAAGCTAACTGATGCAATGACCAAATATATAACATGTTGAGACTAGAATACTGACTGTACTGAGATATGGTCAATGCAATAGAGTCTGACTGAACTGTGGGAGCTACTAATAACCGACATAAAACCATATGAGTTAAATGTGGAGTCCGATGTATACGCCCCATCGAGAGGACCCAATATACCCTGCCAGAGGTATAGAGGCATGTTGGCGTGATCACTAAACTGATGTTGCCCACAGAGGGGACTTACACCTATGTGGCTCGTAGTTCTGGGACTATATGGGTACACTGAACCCTAGTCCAACTCGGTATTATGCTACTCCCAATGAATTAAATGGTTAACTGGTTATGACTGAATTTCTGTAAATACTGGATAGCTCAAAACTAAAAATGCAAACTAAGAATGCAACAATTAAACTGATATTGATGCATTAATAACTGAGGCATGTATAACTGAATAATTGAGTGATCTGTTGAAATTCTAAAAACCCTAGATCTGTTCATAATCATGGAATCAAGAATCTGACTGAATTCTAGGGACCTAATGGGTGAAAGGAACCCACCCACTAGTGAAATCCCACATACTTAGTGACGAATTCCACGGAGAAATCTTTTGATTTCGGGGCTGGAACTGATGGAACCTTGCTGCGTTCTTGAACTAGGGTTCTTGTACCTTTGTTTCCTCTCTTGATTCTAATTTTCTAAGTTTTGATTAATGATTTTGAGTAAAGTAAGTTCTAGTTATGTTTCTAGGCTTAAACTGACTAAAACCTCATGATTTAGGGTCTAAACGACGTATCTTAGGGGTTAAGCAAAATAGGAAAAGACCAAAAGACCCCTGACTTAATTGTTGTCGGAGTGACTGATGGACGGGACTGATAGGCCGTCATTCAATCTATGGTCCGTCAATTGGAGTCGTCGGTCGAGTCTGCCCGACAGGGCTTCACTAAAACGAGCATAACGTTTCACTTGGAGGTCGGATCTTAGCACACTCGGTGGCGTTGGAAAGAGGATTCAATTATCTATCATATAATAGGTTATGGGACACATAATTCCTTTTGTACTAAAAGTTATGACCATCTGAAGTTGACTCACTCAACAATTTTCATCTAACTGCTGTTGACCCTAACCTACGGTCAGACCTATGGATCGTGCATCAAATGACGATCCGTGATGGTCAACCGTCAATCAGGACTGAAGCTGGGCTTTAGGGACATCGATCCATGGACACGAACCACGGTCCGTGACCTGACCTACGGACTGTAGGTCCGGCCATAGGTCAACACTTGGCCGAATTTCTGGCTGAGTTCTGGGGGAGGTTGCTGATACAAACCACGGACCTGCAGGACGGACCGTGGGTCCTCCTACAGTCCATGGATGGTGCCCGTGAGTTCCACCTGAAACACCAGAAATCTGCAATCTAGTCTATTTTCGGATACGGGGTGTTACAGGTGCCCCAATCCAAATGCAGCTTCTTAAGTGCCAACATTGCTTTGTTCTCTAAATCTACAGGCAAATGACAAGACTTCCCATATACAAGTTGGTAAGGGGACATACCTATGGGAGTTTTTAATGCAGTGTGATTGGCCCATAGAGCATAATCAAGCCTTCTTGACCAATCTATTTTGTTTGCATTCACAATCTTCGCAAGAATTTGCATTATATTTCTATTCGACACTTCAACTTGCCCACTAGACTGCGGTAAGACCTGTAGAAATGAGAACAAAATGAAACAAAAAATCAGGAAATACTTGACTAAAGTTCAATAATGAAATTAGTCTAATCTAAAAGTTGTATTCCCCGGCAACGTCGCCAAAATTTGATACGCCCAAATTACACCTCCCGAAAGAAGTATAATCGTTGTCAACTAAAGAACCTAACTTTTAGGCTAATGTAGATCACACGGGGAATATGATTTAGACTTAGGCTAACTTACGATTACTAAGTTCAGTGAAATTATTTCTGAAAAAAGTAACAATGGGGGTTTTGTAAATAAAATAATAGTTTGTTGATTTATATCAATAAGTAACAAGTAAACTGCATTCGCAGTTTTGAGATCTCAATATGAGATGAAAACTAGGGCATAAGTGTTCCCCACAAGCTCTTAACGTAGTATTCCTAATAATAGTAATTATATCCTAGTGTTAACATGCAAGGTTGATAAGTTAGGTATCCCTAAGTGATTGGTCCTCTAAGTAGGAAATTTGACCACGCAACTTGGTCCGTCTACGAGTGTATGCTTTACTAACTGTTACCCTTAACCCTGGATTAGCCTTCGCAAGATTAGGGTCAGGCTATTAGATAGTGGCTTAACACGTCTAAATCTCTGTTGTTTAATTCCTTTCTCATTCGTTACCTCTTTGGTTCGGCAAGTAGGAATGAGGCGAGTTCTAACATTGCGCACCACTACAAAGAATACTAAACGAAAGGATTGACAACATGCATCAACACTATTCTAGAATTACTTAATTATTAGTCATACATTGTTAATTACTCATGGTTCTCACAACCCTAGTTGTGGATTCAGCTACTCATGATTGAGAATTCACAATTCATATTAGGGTTGATAAAATAAATCATGAACTTACAATTTGAATAGATGAATACCGTAATCTTGAATTGAAAATCAAACGCAAAGATCATAAACCAAGTGAGAATTAATTGTCAAAAGAGTTTGGAAAATAACCCTCAAAGTAGAAACAAAGTATCCCAAAACGTCTAACAGCCCAAAAAAAGAAAGATGCAACTTATACTTATAGAAACTAAGTCTTAAACCAAGTAGGAAAAGAAAATATAGGAAATTTTGGTTTTGGCAGTTTCGATAGACGGCAGCGAACGACGGACCATGGATCAGCCAACCGTCCGTGGATCTCCTCTGTAGTTCAGCAATTGGCAAAAATGCTTAGTCTTCAAATTGACGGGCATCACCTATGGTCTGTAGCTCTATTTACGGCTCATCCTTTTCCTCTGTTGTTTAAGTACTGGAACTCAACTTTCTAAATCAAACGACGACAGTGATCAACGGTCCGTCACTCAAGCTAAGGGGCGTCGTATTCCTCCGTGCTTCCATACTTGGTCAGGTTTCCTTGAACTCACGATACACGCCTCCTACCTACGGTTCGTCGACTGGATGATGGCTTGTGAGTAAGCTCGTAGGTTGCCAAATTTCTGCTGGTTCAGCTACATTCATCTTCAACTGCTTCAAACTGATTTCCTACAAAATGATACCAAACACCATCATATATAATAACAAAAATGGCCAACACTCACACAAACTTCAAGTATAATGCATCAAAAATACCGCAAACTCACGGTATATCAACTTGTTCTTAGTAGTTATATCTACTATGAGTTCTAGTCAGACTTATGGGGGTCCATTCAGATTTTTACTATAACTTGCACCTAAATGTACCTTTTGGCATTATGGTGGCCTAGTTAGGCTTAGTTAGTTGTACTTAGTTTTTTTCTGTTCTTAGTACACTCATGTACATTTTAGCGTTACGTTGCTTTTACCTCTGTTTATGTTTATTTCTCGCATTTCATATTGCTTTTACTTCTCTTGCTTAGTCGATCATTGATGCATACTGATTTCCTATTGATTTGGTATTCATGCTACACTCTGCATCTATTTTGTGATGCAGATCTGAGCACCAGCTACTAGTATTGATATTCAAGCCTGTTGCAGCTTCAGTTCAGATACGAGGGTGAACACATTGTGTTCTAGACTTACCTGTGTCTATCTATATTATGTTGGCTCGTCTTTTGTATTTTGAGACAAGCCTTCTATGTTGGGTCCACTTTTAGGACTTTTACTTCACGAAGGACAACAATCTTTTTGATTTAAAAACAATCACCTTGATGTGAAACAATTCATATTTGTGACTGAAAATATGAATTTTCCTAATACTCACCATATACTCATCTTGATACTTTGAAAATAATTTTTTCTCATACTCACCATCAATTAAATAACCATTTAGACTTTAAAGCATCTTTTTTATTGTGATCACGCTCCATCAACCTCAACTGTGATAAATAATTGTACTAGTTAAAATATTGAATATTGCAGAGTTCCATAAAAGGAGATTGACAGAAAATAAAATTTTCAAATATTATATTATTTATTTCACAAGCTAGTTAATGTAGCCCATATTGCAAATTATTCTTCATACAAACACTAATACACAGATATATTTATGCATAAAGATACACACACACACACACATATATATATATATATTGACAGATAAAATATATTCTTCAAATATTACGTTATTTATTTCACATACTAGCTAATGTAGCCAATATTAAAAATTATTCTTCATACAAACACCAATACATATAGATATGTTTATGCATATAGATACACACACACAGATATATATATATATATATATATAACAACATAGATCTTCTAATTCTTGAGAAGGTGACCCTCCATATCCTTGATTACGTCAAGGATATGACCCAAAAAACTGAGCGGCTCTGGAATGTCTTCAGTTTTCTTTTCATAATCAAATGTCCATATAGTCCACTGAGGTTCATGAGATGTTATAATAGTAAATTAACTATACATCTCTAGCACCTCTCCTTCAATGACTTTCCAACAAATTGATTTTTTTACGGATCGATGGCTTCAATAACTTGCTTTATAAACTTCTTTTGTCCAGCTATAATTGTCAACATAAAAATAATACAATATATGTTATTTTAAATTTACTTGTTCAATTCCTCATTAAGATTTCAATATTTACAAAATATAATCTTTATTATCATATAATGTTTAACTTTTTTCCTCGATTTTCATTTTCATTTTCATTTTCATTTACTCCAAAAGTTTATAATGCTCATAATTTTTTATTGTCTATTTTCTAAATAGAGTTATATTTTTAAAATCTCAAAAGAATAGCTGATTTTATTACGTTAAACATGACATTAGTAATATTTTAGTATATTGATTGGTGGAAAGATAATATACCTAAATCATACTCTATTGCAGATCAATAAATCTATTAATAAATCATAGAATGTTTGATAAAAATGAATCTCTTGAGTAATTAAATATTAGTAAGTTATGTCTAAGCATTAGTTGGAGAAAATAAGAAAAAATTAAAGTAATTAAAGATAGTTTTAATGAAGAAAGTACTTTCTCCCACAAGTGGAAAAGGTTATTTTGATTCTTGAAGCAAGAGGGTTTACTTAGAATGTATTTATAGTAATCAAACACCATCAAATAACTCTTTCAAGAAGATCATTTTCTTGAAAAGCACGTTTCATATTACAGTATACACCTAAATAAAGAAAATTGATGTATGTAAATCGCATTGAATAATAGAAGAAGTAGAAAAGTGTGTGTTACCCTCATTATAACTCCAGCTAACAATCGAACCAACTTTTACGCTTTCACCTTCATGAATTTGAAAACGGTTAACATGTTGACTTATATTGGCTACATGATGAGAATTAGTGTGTAAAAGATCATGCATCAAATGGCCTCCACACTTCACCTCAACAGAAGCAATCAATTTTCCTTTCAAACCCATCTTTTATTTTTCTCAATAGAGCAATTATAAGTTGTGAAAAGAAGGTGGTGAGAAAATGTTGAAAACTTGCAGTCTTTATATAGACAGACTTTAGTTAGTTGTGAAAAGCTAGCTTGTTGAAACATTGTCCACCACATACTTATATCACATGTTACTAATTAGTGAGGATTGAAGATTTGTTGATTCAATTTTTGTGAACCATTTTAGAAACATGCGTCGCAAGTTTATCCCAAATTGTAAAAGACATATTTTATCACCTTTAAATATATTGGTATTTACTAAAAAAAAAAAACATTTTTACTATAAAAAGTACGTATATCTTCCTAATAAAAAGAATGCATTCTTATAAAATTGACTAAAAGTACATGAAATAAAAATAACCAACTATTGTACAAATACAATATTTAAATGAGGATACCAAAATACCACATGCTAACTATTGAATGTTCTTATTATATTTTCATGTATGTGATATATCAAGACTTTATTATCAATGTGTATGCTTTCATCAAATTTTTTTAATAGAAAACAAATAACTTTTATGCACTATATAAAATATAATGCTTAGGGAGTAGTATTTTATGCACTATATCTTGTGCTAACCTAATTAATTATTTGTTTACAATATTTTACAAAAGTAAACTAATTTTTTCAAGAATTACATAAAAAATAATGAACACCAAAGAAAAAGAGCAGTTTATGCTAAAATTGTACAAACCTAAAATAACCTAGTAGGAGAAAATTTTGTGCTGATTGTAAGGAATCTGAAGCGTTTGTTTGGCATTGCTGGAAAGCCACAAACACTTATTTTGAGATTTTTTTTCTTTGAAATATTAAGTGTTTGACAAATTAGTAAAATTGTTTTTAAATTCAAGCAGAAGCAATTTTTCTGCTGTTGGAAAGAAGCTAAAATATTCTACTTCTTAAAAAAGCAGAAGCAGGAGCAGAAAATTATTATTTTTAAGACTAAAATATCCTTTCCGTAAATGAATATTTATCAATATACCTATTATTAATTAATTAACGTATATCATAAGTTTTGTTAATTTTCATTTAAAAATTTATTTTTTATGTTTATATAATAGTTTTTTTATTTTATATTATATTATTCTACGTATTATTTTTCAGTATTAGAAAAAAAGCCAACAACAATCTTTTTGCAAGTTAAGAAAAAAGAAAAAATTATTGTAACAATTAAAGATTTCCTCCCTCCCAAACAAAGGTATATTATTGATTGAATATTTTAATATGTACATTTAATTTAATAAAAATAAAAATTTAATTAAAACTTTTATAATAGATATTTAAAATTGTTTCTCTCTATAAAATAATGTTAATATTAGAAGTACATTGATACTTTCCATTTTTCGTAATTTGACTCTCAAAGGCACTTTTAAAAAAAGATTAGTCCAACACAATTTTCTTAAGAAAAATAATTTTCAAATGAATTAGCCAAGCACAAATTATTATTTTTTCAAGAACACTTTTTGAAAAACTATTTTTAAAAAAGTACTTTTAAAAATAAATAGTTTTTAACAACAATGTTATACATACTCTAGGACTTAGTGAATCAATAAATGCCACATGCGTAAATTTATTTTTCAATACACTACCAATCTATTTTGTAAGGAAACAAAGAGGATCTTTATTGATAACGAGATAAAGCAAGTGTGGATTTAATTACTTGACTTTCTTGGTTAGCCTATTTAAAGTATCATATCTATTTGCTTAATTTTCTTTCCCTAATACTTATTGCATCGTGCCTATTGTGTGTGATAGAGGATTTTACATGGAAGACATTAAATTCCTCAGTTGGACTTTGTTGAAAAAAATTATTTAATGATCGCAGAATGTGAGTTTCACGAAGAAGTAGGATCATGACTTGGTGCCCTTCAATATTATCTAATGATCACAAAATGTGAGTTTCCCGAAACTAATGGATAATCACTTGGTGCGCTTCAATATTATGGAGCCTAAGACTCATATAAATTACTCACTCTTGAAGATGTATGATAGAATCCTTTGTAAGGACTATAATTATTATTTTGATTCAGATTTTTACTATAACTTGCACCTAAATGTACCTTTTGGCATTATGGTGGCCTAGTTAGGCTCAGTTAGTTGTACTTAGTTTTTTTCTCTTCTTAGTACACTCATGTACATTTCATTTAGCGTTACGTTGCTTTTACCTCTGTTTATGTTTATTTCTCGCATTTCATATTGCTTTTACTTCTCTTGCTTAGTCGATCATTGATGCATACTGATTTTCTATTGATTTGGTATTCATGCTACACTCTGCATATATTTTGTGATACAGGTCTGAGCACCAGCTACTAGCATTGATATTCAAGCCTGTTGCAGCTTCAGTTCAGATGTGAGGGTGAACACATTGTGTTCTAGACTTACCTGTGTCTATCTATATTATGTTGGCTCGTCTTTTGTATTTTGAGACAAGCCTTCTATTTTGGGTCCACTTTTAGGACTTTTACTTCACGAAGGATAACAATCTTTTTTATTTAAAAACAATCACCTTGATGTGAAACAATTCATATTTGTGACTGAAAATATGAATTTTGCTAATACTCACCATATACTCATCTTGATACTTTGAAAATAATTTTTTCTCATACTCACCATCAAATAAATAACCATTTAGACTTTAAAGCATCTTTTTTATTGTGATCACGCTCCATCAACCTCAACTGTGATAAAAAATTGTACTAGTTAAAATATTGAATATTGCAGAGTTCCATAAAAGGAGATTGACAGAAAATATATTTTCAAATATTACATTATTTATTTCACATGCTACTTAATGTAGCCCATATTGCAAATTATTCTTCATACAAACACTAATACACATATATTTATTTATGCATATAGATACCCGCATATATATATATATATATATATATATTGACAGATAAAATATATTCTTCAAATATTACATTATTTATTTCACATGCTAGCTAATGTAGCCAATATTGCAAATTATTCTTCATACAAACACCAATACATATAGATATGTTTATGCATATAGATACACATACACACACACATATATAAATATATAACAACATAGATCTTCTAATTCTTGAGAAGGTGACCCTCCATATCCTTGATTATGTCAAGGATATGACCCATAAAACTGAGCGGCTCTGGAATGTCTTCAGTTTTCTTTTCATAATCAAGTGTCCATATAGTCCACTGAGGTTCATGAGATGTTATAATAGTAAATGAACTATACATCTCTAGCACGTCTCCTTCAATGACTTTCCAACAAATTGACTTTTTGTACGGATCGATGGCTTCAATAACTTGCTTCATAAACTTCTTTTGTCCAGCTGTAATTATCAACATAAAAAGAATATAATATATGTTATTTTAAATTTACTTTTTCAATTCCTCATTAAAGATTCAATATTTACAAAATATAATCTTTATTATCATATAATGTTTAACTTTTTTCCTCGATTTTCATTTTCATTTTCATTTACTCCAAAAGTTTATAATGTTCATAAATATTTTATTGTCTACTTTCTAAATAGAGTTATATTTTTAAAATCTCAAAAGAAGAGCTGTTTTTATTACGTTAAACATGACATTAGTAATATTTTAGTATATTGATTGGTGGAAAGATAATATACCTAAATCATACTCTATTGCAGATCAATAAATCTATTAATAAATCATAGAATGTTTGATAAAAATGAATCTCTTGAGTAATTAAATATTAGTAAGTTATGTCTAAGCATTAGTTGGAGAAAATAAGAAAAAATTAAAATAATTAAAGATAGTTTTAATGAAGAAAGTACTTTCTCCCACAAGTGAAAAAGGTTATTTTGATTCTTGACGCAAGAGGGTTTACTTAGAATGTATTTATAGTAATCAAACACCATCAAATAACTCTTTCAAGATGATCATTTTCTTGAAAAGCACGTTTCATATTACAGTATACACCTAAATAAAGAAAATTGATGTATGTAAATCGCATTGAATGATAGAAGAAGTAGAAAAGTGTGTTTTACCCTCACTATAACTCCAGCTAACAATCGAACCAACTTTTACGCTTTCGCCTTCATGAATTTGAAAATGGTTAACATGTTGACTTATATTGGCTACATGATGAGAATTAGTGTGTAAAAGATCATGCATCAGATGGCCTCCACACTTCACCTCAACAGAAGCAATCAATTTTCCTTTCAAACCCATCTTTTATTTTTCTCAATATAGCAATTATAAGTTGTGAAAAGAAGGTGGTGAGAAAATGATGAAAACTTGCCGTCTTTATATAGACAGACTTTAGTTAGTTGTGAAAAGCTAGCTTGTTGAAACATTGTCCACTACATATTTATATCACATGTTATTAATTAGTGAGGATTGAAGATTTGTTGATTCAATTTTTGTGAACCATTTTAGAAACATGCGTCGCAAGTTTATCCCAAATTGTAAAAGACATATTTTATCACCTTTAAATATATTGGTATTTACTAAAAAAAAAACAAATATTTTTACTATAAAAAGTACGTATATCTTCCTAATAAAAAGAATGCATTCTTATAAAATTGACTAAAAGTACATGAAATAAAAATAACCAACTATTGTACAAATACAATATTTAAATGGGGATACCAAAATACCACATGCTAACTATTGAATGTTCTTATTATATTTTCATGTATGTGATATATCAAGACTTTATTATCAATGTGTATGCTTTCATCAAAAAATTTTAATAGAAAACAGATAACTTTTATGCACTATATAAAATATAATGCTTAGGGAGTAGTATTTTATGCACTATATCTTGTGCTAACCTAATTAATTATTTGTTTACAATATTTTACAAAAGTAAACTAATTTTTTCAAGAATTACATAAAAAATAATGAACACCAAAGAAAAAGAGCAGTTTATGCTAAAATTGTACAAACCTAAAATAACCTAGTAGGAGAAAATTTTGTGCTGATTGTAAGGAATCTGAAGTGTTTGTTTGGCATTGCTGGAAAGCCACAAACACTTATTTTGAGATTTTTTTTTCTTTGAAAGATTAAGCATTTGACAAATTAGTAAAATTGTTTTTAAATTCAAGCAGAAGCAATTTTTCAGTTGTTGGAAAGAAGCTAAAACTTTCTACTTCTTAAAAAAGCAGAAGCAGGAGCAGAAAATTATTATTTTTAAGACTAAAATATCCTTTCCGTAGATGCATATTTATCAATATATCTATTATTAATTAATTACCGTATATCATAAGCTTTGTTAGTTTTCATTTAAAAATTTATTTTTTATCTTTATATAATAGATTTTTTATTTTATATTATATTATTCTACGTATTATTTTTCAGAATTAGAAAAAAAGCTACCAACAATCTTTTTGCAAGTTAAAAAAAAAGAAAAAATTATTGTAACAATTAAAGATTTCATCCCTCCCAAATAAAGGTATATTATTGATTGAATATTTTAATATGTACATTTAATTTAATAAAATAAAAATTTAATTAAAACTTTTATAATAGATATTTAAAATTGTTTCTCTCTATAAAATAATGTTAATATTAGAAGTACATTGATACTTTCCATTTTTCGTAATTTGACTCTCAAAGGCACTTTTAAAAAAGATTAGTCCAACACAATTTGCTTAAGAAAAATAATTTTCAAATGAATTAGCCAAGCACAAATTATTATTTTTTCAAGAACACTTTCTGAAAAACTATTTTTAAAAAAAGTACTTTTAAAAATAAATAGTTTTTAACAACAATGTTATACATACTCTAGGACTTAGTGAATCAATAAATGCCACATGCGTAAATTTTTTTTCCAATACACTGCCAATCTATTTTGTAAGGAAAAAAAGAGGATCTTTATTGATAACAAGATAAAGCAAGTGTGGATTTAATTACTTGACTTTCTTGGTTAGCCTATTTAAAGTATCATATCTATTTGCTTAAATTTTTTTCCCTAATACTTATTGCATCGTGCCTATTGTGTGTGATAGAGGATCTTACATGGAAGACATTAAATTCCCTAGTTGGACTTTGTTAAAAAAAATTATTTAATGATCGCAAAATGTGAGTTTCCCGAAACTGATGGATCATCACTTGGTGAGCTTCAATATTATGGAGGCTAAGACTCATATAAATTACTCACTCTTGAAGATGTATGGTATAATCCTTTGTAAGGACTATAATTATTATTTTGATATAAGATTTTGCCAATGAATTTTTTTATTAAAAGGAATAGGAATAAGAGAGCATTGTTTGACTTTCAAAAGTATCAAAAATATCAAAATCTACCAACTTATATGAGGGGTAGCAGCAATTTCTACCCTTTCTTCTTCCGGACCAGAGAATTACATTTCTCACTTACGGAATAAGAAGTGCACGATGTTATATCTTTTGTTTGATTTATTTATTTCTACACCACCATGTATCACAACTCGAAATTGAATCATGATGACATTTACCATATACCCCTGGTAGGCAAGTCAAAGAACAATCAACTCGTGAAAAATAAAATTAGAATATAACAAACGTGGAAGAAATAATAGGTTAAGAAAGGGAGCATAGCATAGATATGTACAAAATAGTACAAAATATATAATAAGGGCCAGAAAGTGGCCAAGAAAGAAGAATATATACAAAATGGTACACTGCATATAACAAAGATGGTAAGATATTCTTCAAAAAATAACCCACTTTTTCCGTGCAAAAAAACCCACAAATACGCTCTCTCTGAGCCCAAATCAAATAGAAATTGATGCATAAAGGTTTTAAACTAAAAATCCACATTTTCTCACTGCTACCTCATTCCATGGTCAAATGCAGATGTTATGTACATTGATGCATGCCAATCACAGTCAAACAAGTTATAATACATTCATATCACGCATACTAATAAGGTAAACCCTTCACAATACAATCGTATTAACTAGAAACTTCATCCGCTCCAAGGCCTCAGGCCCATAATCACAATTTTATAGAAATAAGCACAATTATCTGGATAAACACAAAACCACATTAAACAAGCAACCAACTCTTCTAAAACGAAGTTTAAATCCCCTAAAGCAATCTAAGCATTCTATACTAATCAAGCGTAGTGTCACGTCCCGCCACATCACAGTTAAATTTTACGTCCGGATAGGGGCGGAAGGGTCTAGAGTTGTGGAGAGGTTTGCGGAGAACTCTAGAACCTTTTAGAATATTCGAAAAGGCTAGAGAATTCTAAGTCTCTAGAATAACTTAGACTTTTTCTTGAAAAGCCTTAGAATTCTCTAGAGTGTGTAGAGAATTCTAGAGAGGGGCCTTTGTGTAAATAATCTAGGGACTTGTAAGTAATTTTTAATTGCACTTTAGTCCTTAGGAGTTAGTATAAATAGGGGGTGCCATTCATTTGCAAGGCATCCAAGAAAGCATCCAAGCTTGAAGCAAGAAACCAAGCAAGTGTAAAGCTTTCTTATAAGCAATATAAGCCTTCTTCCAAAATTCTCTAAGTCTTCTTTTTCATTCTCTTAGCGATCTTAGTCGTAAAGGCTTACTTGAGCTTACAAGATCGTGAAAGATTCGTGAGTAAGTTGTCAAGTGTCACACGGAGCATTAGTGGAAACTCTAAGTCTGTGACAGTAGGCTATGATCAACCTAGACAAAGGTTTAAGTCTAAGCTACTAGTCTAATGTCCCAAAAAGGGGGAAAGTATAACTAATTAAGGATCATGTAAGACTAAGAGTTAACCCTACAGCCTTTCTAATGATCATATGCAACCCAATATATATAGTGTCTAACTAAGCTAAGTCTAAATAAACAAGTTGTAACCAACCTCGAAGTCGAAACCATACTAGAATTGCTACTCGAGACCTTTACCTTTTTGAAGAGCTGCAGATCGCCTTCATGATATAAGAAAACTATACGTCAATACAGGACTACTGATACTCATATTAATGTCGCAAAATTCATAACAAAAATGAGGTGAAAAATTGACCCTCGGAACTTGCAATGAAATAGAAAATTAACTCTGTCATTATACTTCCTTTGAGGTGAGCATCACATGCCTCAAAGTTGGGTGTAGATGAAGGTCATTTTGAACCTCAAATGGTATGAAAAGCTAACTTTTAAAGAATTGAGGTTCAATTAGAGAATAAAACACGGAAATGAAGTTAGAATAAACAATATAAATCAAAGGGAAAGAGAAGTACCTTTGAATCCCATGAAAAGATCACGAAATGAGTTTAAAGACTCCTACATGTGCTCAATAACAATGGAAACATTTGAAGGAATATGAGATATAAAACCACTCGTGATTGTCGCCCCTACAGACCCGAGGTTACTGGTGTGGATAAAGTCTTGCAAGAGTTGATGTGAATAGTCTCCTCCATCTCCATGGAAGCCAATGCTAGCCACATCCATGAGATCACTAAAGCGAGCATGTTGTAAAAATCTGATTCATCATTACTCAAAAGGCACCTCATGCGGAGTTAAATTATTTTTTTTGGAGATATTTGGCCAATTTATTATTGAGGTGACATGAAGAAAAATTAGGGACTTTGAAATTGATCTGAACTGGAGTCATCTAACAATTGTAGGAATATTCTTGCTATGCTGGTGCCACTAGAGGCTCGTGTTCAGAGTTCTTCAGCAGTTGCTTGGCATCCATGTAGACGAGGTTTTCTTTTAACTAAGTAGTCAGACTTGTCTTTACTTATATAATATCTTGTAGATAGTCGGGAGATTTCATGCATGGGCATTCGGGCATGGAGTCTAGATTGTTGAATATATAGATAGTCGTGGGTTACGCTAATGATAGACTCGGTTAGGTAATGTTTACTTTGAGATAATTTCTAGGTGCTATGCTAGGGTACACGATTGTGGGTAAAATGGCTTATGAACATGGAACATTCGAGAAGGAATCTTTCTGATAGGTTATGGTTTTTTTTTAAGTTTATGTATGTATTTATGTTAATTGTCTCTATTGTGAAACCTGAACAATACATTTTGGGAAAAACATAAGGGTTGTATTTAAAGTGATAAATTGTTTACAATCTCATGCAATGAATAAGGTGCTTTTGTTTACTTGTATTTACAAGTGTGGTTGTATTTCATTGAGATTGCGATTGTGTTTGTGTGACTAATGTTTGACTCTGGTACTACGCCTGATATATGATATTCCCATGGTTGGCTTAGGCACCATTTTAGTACGTACTAATGGTTGGCTCGGGTACCACACCTGGTACAAGGGTGTCACGACCCAAATTAGGTCCAT